ATGGGAGGTGTAGATGGGAGCGCATGGGAGGTGTAGATGGGAGCGCATGGGAGGTGTAGATGGGAGCGCATGGGAAGTGTAGATGGGAGGTGTAGATGGGAGCGCATGGGAGGTGTAGATGGGAGCGCATGGGAGGTGTAGATGGGAGCGCATGGGAGGTGTAGATGGGAGCGCATGCATAGCACATGCATGTGGGGCACGTATCTGGGTTCAGCTTTCAGACTGATTCCTGGTGGTGTTTGTGGCACCGTTGTGGACACGCCACTCATTCTACCTCAGAGATGGCCGAGATATTTCTGGAACTAGAGCCAAACATAAAGCAGAGTAGGAGAGCGGCTGGGATGCCATTCCACCTCACCTATCAAGAAGTCAAAGATGGCCATGTCAATGACACTGAGGAGCCTCTGAGGGTTGTTGTAGGGTGGCAGCTGTTTGATGGAGTCGCAGTACGCTGGATTGACCTCCCACCTAACAAAGCAGAGAAATGCTGGTCAGTATTCTGGAGGATCTCCATTACTAATACAGCCTGAACTACAAGTCCCAGCATGCCCTGCCAGACAAATGGTGGGTCCTGCCACAAGGTGGCGCCACATACTGCCTGAGCATGCGGGATCTTTCCCATCAGATGATGATACGTCAGCACTAGTGTGAATGACTCCATGGATGGAACTCCCCCGGCCAGATGGGGATCAGCCAGATGTTCTCTACACGTCAGTGGAAAATTGGCCACCGACATTATTTTCTGTCTTCTTACAAACAACAAATTCCACAAAATATTTTGGTGCCAGAAAACAAGAAGTAACCTGAGGAATCCACTCTGATGGGAGCCATGTGTGTTATCTTTCATGGTAGAGGGGCCACAGGCAGCAGAGGGTTAGATCCCTTCCAGCTGCTGGAGAGATGGCTGGGCTCAGTGACTGACGATTGTGGGATGCACCGTCTCCTGCAGAACTACAAGTGCCAGCAATCATCACCTCCTTCACCTGTATGTGATATTACTGCCCCAGTGCAACCTAGAGGTACTACTGGCCGGGGCGGGGGAGGCACGCTGACCTCTCCATGCTGCTTTGGTTCTGGTATTACCTCCAGGGACCACTATGAGGCCAGCACAATTTCCGAGGACTGTGTGAGCCTAGTGAGATGGCTAGGGAAGGGGAAGAGAGGTAGTTGTGGAGCATACTGTGACCTCTGGGGGGCTCCTTGGACTCTGGTGTGACCTCTGGGGGGATGCTTGGACTCTGGTGTGACCTCCGGGGGGATGCTTTGACTCTGGTGTGACCTCTGGGGGG